AAGAAGGGATGCTGTGCGATTCCACCTGACTGACGTCATTGTATCTAAATATTCTTTATATTTAACTAGTTAAATCGTTTTAAGATCCAAGAGTATATTGATAGTCACTTCCAGTATTGTGGGAGATTTTAAGCAAATCCGTAGAACTACCTAAATGTTCCTAGATTTGGCAACCTAGTACATTATTGAAAGCCCTACACTGATCATGTTTATTATTGTAATATCCTGTTTGATATATCCGTTATTGTATCAATGGGTTGTTCAAACAGACGAGGAATGTGCTGCCATGAATTTCTATTAGAACACCTGCATCATGGCTATTTTTGTATCTGGTTATCAGTTTCATTATAAGAAAATAGATACAGTACACATAACAAATTATGAGCTTATATGCCCTTTGAACCAGTTTCCAGTCATTACTTTTAACCGCATTGCAAGAAAAAGGGGTCAGGCATGATGATAACGAAATGGCACTTACTTGACATAAAAAAGTCTTAATGGCATGAAAACTTCAAGCTGAACGTTTAAAATACGAACGACTTTTATAAAAAAAGAAGTCGCTGATTTGAATAGTTTCACGGTACCTACCCTTAAAATACACCAAGTGAAAAGAAACATATCAAGGTGTCCATTGGGGTTTCCCGAAGGCACTATACCAAGCTCGTAATGAAAAGTTTGTTTTTGTGACGATGGATGCCGGCATTTCAGAATAGGCCATCTAAGATATGAAGGCAATGGAAATCTCAGAGTCGAAGAAGTCGAAGATGAATTTGGTCCAGCCCTTGACTTACTCAATACACCAACTCTGTTTTAGAAACCTATGTTCTACAGTCATAAGCAGTCTAATACTAATTTGGAGTATATTGTCAAGCTTAGAATAATGAATCAGTACAATTTCGGTAATTATGCTTTAGTAAAGTTTTCCGTAGAAAACAGCAGAATACTGATATGCTGCAGTGATAAATCAAATTGACTATCAGGAAGATGGAGTGACAGTCACATTTATGAAAATTTGTGACGATAAACGCCATACGCTAAGATTTGATGAAAGCGATGTTTCTGATGTTCCTTTGGACCAAATATTGGAAAAGTTACCAAACCCAGATCTAACTCCAAAAGGGAAAAGATTGTTTTATAACTTTCCAGTAGCTGCATCTGTGTTTTAAAAATGGATTGATATTTACGTGAAGTGTGATTTGTTGTAAGTTGTAAGAGTTACTATAAGAGTTACTATTTAAGTTAGATAAAGCTTCTTAGCTCAGAAGCTGTATAGTATTGAGAAGATTAATTTTAGAAATTGTTTTTTCCTAAATATCCAAACTTTATTGTAGTGTAGTTCAAATAAATAAAAACAAAGAGTTCGATTGCTTACGTTCAATTAAAACATGTTTTTTTCTCCCAGATAAACGTTCCCCTGGATGAGATAACACTCCCTTGTCGTCATTTTTCATAAATTCGTTCACAATTCGAAAATAAATAGCCATTGTATGTGGGCTCTTGAACCGGCATTTTACTTTAATTAGTATCTCTTGATTTACCTATATATTTTCTTAATTTATGAGAATGACATGGTTGGGACAGTTTTATATAGGCAACTTTCCAGTTAGTAGAGAAACACCCATACAAAAGATGATTCTTGTCCAGGCTTAGAAATAAACCTTATAGTTCTAGGGCTCGTGATCCTTGGTTATTGGAGATGTACGGAGGTACACCTACACTAGTGCAGATCTCATATGCGTCGTATGTAGATTTGTGATATAGTTTGAATTCTAGGTATGCCTCTATCATGCTTGCGGAATATGTACTTTGGATTTTTTGACCTCTACAATCTACTTGATTATTTAACTTGATTTTTTCATCAAGAACACAATGCTATTTTCAGTCTTTCTTACCACAATATCACTTGGGACTGTGCCAATATGGATGTCTATCTCGAGAATTAACAATTATACTGTCATAGGAAGCAATTAATTTTATTCGATCCAGTCGTTTATCAGTTCGATCAGTAACAAGATTACTGATACCACAATCATACATAAGATAAAATTATCTTCTATATATTTAGATAACGTTTACGATCCCCATCTCCGTAATGCTTTGGTGTCATAAGAAAATGTATAGGATCATATAGGGTTCCCCAGTAGGATTGATACATTTTCAAAACAATATTACTCATTATTCTCTTATTCAGTCTTCACTCGACAGCCCCTGTACTAGCAACTGCGAAATCTAGCTCTAGGCTGCATGGTAGGGTGGATGAGGTTATTGAAAAGCGCAGATTGCTGGCTGATCAAAATTAATAATGCAAAGGCAGGTTATCTGCTGTTGTCAGGCAGTCCTAAATATGTCCTCAACTTTCAACTATAGAAATTGGGTCGGGTTGTGCTGCAGAAAAATTATAACGATGCAAATGCAGAACATACTGGAACTTACAGTATTTTCTTTATAAGCTCGTTCACAAATTCTCCGTAATTTTTATACCATAAACCACAAATCTAATCCACTTTTCAGGTTCATCAACGTCATAGGTTCTCAAACTCATTTTGTCTAGCGTCACCGATGTATCAGTTTAGTTTCAATTTTCGGTTCGGTACTTTTAATTACTATGATCAAATTATACATTTTCTTTTCACTGACACTCCGCTACAAGAAAGATGTTTATATATTTTAGCAATATTTGGATATTAGGGAAATGATGACTTCATTGTTTCTATATCCACACATACAGGGTGTTAGGGAAATAATATTCGTAGCTTTAAGAGGTGATTCCTTCCATTATTTTAAGCAAAAAAGTTTATTATACCTTATGTCCGAAAATCAATCGTTTCCGAGAGAAGTGAGTCGTAAATTTAAATTTGCACAAAGGACGACCGCAACTGATTCATGGAATTGTTTACTTTTTTTCAGTTTTGTTGAAAGTATGAATTATTGAATTCCTTTACGCTATTTTTTGTGGCTAATATTTTTTATTTAATAACGCTTTCAGTACATTTACTTAAGAAAAAAATGACAGAACTTACCGGTACGTAGCGATACACGCCACCAATTCGCACGAAAAAGAAAAAAAAAAACATCCGTAAATCACATAAAGTTACAGTTAAATTACTAATCACAATAGATGTTCCTCGGTTTCCACTCAAACTTCGCGATGTCTTCCGCGATTGCTAAAATTAGGCACTACGCATTGAGATGCTTCTACGAATGTTCTTCTAGCTCTTCAGAATTACTATGAGCCTCTCCGTAAATAATAAAGCATATTGTGATACTCGCGTACCGAAAACATCTCTTTCGTAACAAACTACTCGCACTGATACAGTAATACATACTGAATAATAAAATGTGATTTCAATTCATTAACGTATGCAAGAAACTATCAAATAATTCTTTCCCGATGTAGGTATTTATTTTTTTGCCTACCGATGTCGGTCGCGATGATACATGCAGTGCAGGCGGAGGACGACGTTGTGTGAGGGATTTTGTTTGTTTGTTTTTCTTCGGAAAAATTGTATTTAAAAATTATCTTGTTAGAAACAGTTAATTATAAATAGATGTATTCATACTTTTTACACTACTAGGCATATGAATTTAAATTATTAAGGTGCAAAATTAATTTTTTTCTTGACTACAAAGAAATAATTTCAGAATTTTTTTGCTCCAAAACGGTGGATTTTCGCACATATTTTTGCTTAGAATAATGCAAGAAATCACCTCTTAAAGTTACGAATATTATTTCCCTAACACCCTGTATATTTTTATAAATTTTATGATTCGCAAATGTACCACCCATTTCGTCTAACACATTGATCCCCAAAGTGGTCTATAATCGACCTCTAGGGGTCTATGACAACCTGCAAGGGGTCTACGTCAGCGAAAGAAAATTTGGGGGTCCATGAAATGAATATGGGGGTCCAGGATAGTGGATCTCAACACATACACTGATAGTACCTATTTAATTACATCATAATATCTTATGATATCAAAACATATATACATTATTTATAAAAGTACCTATGAAGTAAAAGATTTATTATATATGTACTTGTACAATACGTCACTCTATAAATACGAATGTGGGACAAATACGTTTATTCGTTTCCTGAATCTTGAAAAGTGCTAAGAAAATATTTAAAAAAATTTAAACAGATAGTATATCACACAAATTAGAATGAGTCAGTGTTATTTTATTTGAGAGTGCTGGAGAAAAGTAAGTACATTATTTTTTATTAAATTTAAGTTTTGTACTCGTAGTTAGCAAAGATAGATAAATTACGCCAATCATGACTTTAGTTATTAGTAGTTAAATATTCAATCATGGAAAATTACACGAGTACTCCTCAATAGTTTCTTTTTGAAAGTTTTAGCAATCGGTAATATAATTACAGTGCAATCTCCGTAATTCGAGCTAATTGTTGCAAGAAGATGTTCGAATTATGGAATGTTTTCGGAAAAATCAAAAAATATTTTTAATATGCAGCTGCTGGATTTTCTGTCTTATTTAAATAATTTAATTTTACCCACAGATGACTGATGCCATGTCCGAATCTAAAAAGAAATGTAGACAGTACAGTGTTGATTATTTGAAATTTGGCTTCATTCCATTATTGCCGGACAAACAATCGCCTATGTGCCTTTTATGCAACAAAGTGTTGGGCAATGACGCTATGAAACCATCTAAACTGCAAGATCATCTGAGAAGATGCCACTCTGATAAAACAGAGAAAGATTTGAAATAATTTTAAACACTCAAAGATAAATTTCAGAAGAGACCTACACTGGACAGAATGTTCGCTTCGACGTCACAAAGAAATGATGATGGTTTGCGGGCATCTTACAAAATCTTGTTACTTATAGCAAAATCCGGAAAACCGCATACTATCGGAGAAAAGTTAATTTTGCCAGCCGTTGAAGAGGTTTTAAAAACTGTTTTACACAAACCTGCATCTGATATCATTAAAACAATTCGCTGAAGCAACAATACTGTTGAAAGACGTATTGATGAAATGAGTTCTGATATTGAAAGCTTCTTATGTAATTATTTGCAAACGACCCATTTCTTTATACAACTCGACGAGTCAACTTTACCTGATAATGCAGCATTATTATTGGCATATGTTCGTTTTATTATGAATCAAGAAATCTACGAAGAACTGCTTTTCGCAAGAACTTTGATAACCGACACTAAAGGTGAATCAATATTTCATGTTTTGAAGGATTACTTCATTGAAAAAGCAATTCCTTTATCGAATATAATATCAGTAGCTACAGATGGAGCACCCGCCATGGTTGGACGTTATCGTGGATTTATAAGCTAGTTTAAAAAAAATGTGTCAGGGGTGTTAGCAATACATTGCGTCATCCATCGACAACATTTAGTTGCTAGAAATTTGAGTGTTAGATTGCATGAATCACTTCATTTAGTCATTGATGCAGTAAACCGAATCCGAAGCAACGCGTTGAATACGCGGTTATTTGCGCAGTTGTGTGAAGAAAATGACGAACACATTCATCAATTACTCCTTCACACTGAAGTACGCTGGCTGTCAAAAGGCTTATGTTTGACAAGATGTTTTGCACTTTTTGAGACTATTTTAGAATTTCTGGATACTAAAGATAAAATTTAAAAAGAAAATTTAATGAAGAGGAAAACAGACATCGCCTATTTAACAAATTTGTTTACAAAATTTAATATGGTTAATTTGCAATTACAAGGCGACAGTTTAAATTTGATTAAAACAAAGTCCATCTTATCAGCGTTTTTTGCCAGAGTTAAACTAATGAAGCAAAATATTGGACGGGGCGAATTTTCTCAGTTCCCCAATTTGTCACAGACAAGCTGCCAGGAAGACGACGTTTCAACTTACGTTCAATATTTAAATGCCCTCTATTCAGATTTTGAATCTAGGTTTGAGGATATTTTGACTATGGTAATACCACCGTGGATAATTAATCCATATGGTGACATAGAAGAAACGAATGTCATAATACAAGAGGAGCTGACTGAACTAAGTACAAACGAAGTACTTAAGGTTCAGTTTAAAAACGTATATCAGCAATTCTGACTCCAAAACAACATACCCGTTATTATGGAATATAGCGAGGAAATTTTTAATTTCCTTTCCATCGTCGTACCTAGTGGAAAAGGGGTTCAGCACTGTTACCAATCTCCTAACGAAAAAAAGAAACAGACTGGGCATCATTAGCCGAGGAGGTTTAAGATTAACCCTTACAAAATTGACGCCAAATGTTGATAATTTATTATTAAAGCATCAGGTTCATCCTTCTCACTAAAAATATTGACTTATTCCTTATGTTATTTTATTTATAGTTTATTTTATGTTTATTGGTGTCTGACCACTTTTTTTTTATTTTATCCCTGTTATTTTTTTTCAATGCGGGCACTTATTCCCAATGCGGGCACTTATTGGTCAGACACCTGTTCATTTAATGTTACGTATATATTTTACATAACAGATACAAAATTTTATTTTGAGTAGTTTTAATTTAAATTCAATTAATAAATGTATAAATTAACATGTGTTTTTACTTTAAGTTTTTAACACTAAACTTCACTACAGTTAGAAATTTACAGGAAATCAATATCAGGTAAGTAGGGGGTCTACCCAACACGGAAAATCATGGCAAGGGGTCTACGACACAAAAAAGTTTGGGGAACCCTGGTCTAACCTTTAATGTGTGTTGCTTCGTTTATGATGGTTCTCTGAATAATTCGTCAAATATATTGACTAGTACTTACATCGATATACAACAAGCACGAACTGACAAACCAACACAAATAAGAAGCACGGCCTTGTGTCATGCAGATGTCTTTAATTAACAGAAAACTTGAAATCGTAGTTTTTGAAAATTGATTCAGGTGGTGGAAGTAAAATCGCTGGAACATAGTGTTTCAACGTTTCAGAGGTTTCTGCTCATTTTCATACATTGTTTGGAGGGGATGAAAATTGTAGGTTGGAAACTGTATGCGATAAATGGTTGTAAGTGAAAGACCTTCTATAATCAAGAAGTTGCTGATCTCAGTAATACTCTGCACCTGTTAGACATGATAGGTCACAGATATTTTGCTTACATCTGCCATGGAAACAGAAATATGATAGATTTGCATTATTTACCATAGTTTGCTATGCACCTAATTGAACCTACCTAATCTCGATTCGATTTCGCCTTTTGAGATGATTTGACTTAATCTTTCCTTTGAAACCTCCAACGAAGGCGTAGGAAGTATAGAGCCAATCTACTTGACGCCACTTATCTGATAAAGAATTCCATTCCTTTTGGAAAACCCTATACAGCATGGCACAAGCATCCGTGAGCTTCTTCTCTCGACTTGCTGTTCTAAACAGTCGTCGTCTGACGTGATCGCTGTTTTTGCCCGTTTGATTCCGATTCCGACTCAGGATAAATAAACATGGAGGATCTCGACCTATTGTATTTTTGAAACAAATCCAGTAAACGTACACGAGCGTGTGACTGTATTGTTATGTGTTTTTTTTTTAGATTTGTACGATGAGGTATTTCTCAAAAAAACATATGTTTTGAATTTTTTCCATCTCCGCATTAATTATCATGTCTGAATTTTGAATAAGCGCTTTATTTGTGAGCTCTTACGTCACGAAAATCTATGTTAGTCATTTTCGTGGGCATGTTTGTCGTTTTTTCGTTATGGCATAGCTCTAGTAAAATCTGAACCAATTTTGGTATTTGGCACTATTTACTAGTTTGACGTATTTCGAAAAAATCTGGATGAACCCAAAAAACTGAGCGAGGAATCTGAAGCGTACGTGAAACTTCTGTTTGGAGAAGCTCCGATATGTTTGCATCCGTTTCCAAAAAAGTATTAGCATTTCCTTTTATCCCCTTATCAAATCCATATAATAATGATAATAATAATAATAATAACAATAATAATAACGTCTTTGTTCAGAAAATGATCATAGTTTGGCGAACTTTAGCAATAGCTACTCTACCACTCAACCATACTACAACCAGACATCACAAAACATTAGCATAACAAAATGAATCAGTAGCTGTAAGGAATGCATTAAAAAGGAGTAAATATATAATATGAACATATACAAAGAAAAGAAACAAAAGAACAAGATATCGTTCAGCAAAATGAATTTATCACTCAATATGCTGAGTCCAGAAACTGCAACTTGACTGTCTTCTTGAACCGCTGCAAACTTAAGCTCTTAGAGTTAGCTGGTAGAGAATTGTATACCTTGACCACATTATAAGGAAAGGACCTTTCAGAGACCGACATACGATGTGTAGGAATGGAAAGTAGATCATTGTGCCGCAGATTTAGAGTAATTTGGTTTCCACGAGGAATTAACTTACCGAGTAAATAGTCGGGTTTACCAGTTTTAAAAATTCTATGCACCAATGAAGCCATGGAATAGTTGTATAAACCATTAACTTTGAGCCACTGTAACTCCTTGATTTTTGAAGAAACGCTACTGTACTTCCTAAGACCAAATATGAATCTGCAACAGTTGTTCTGAATCTTCTGCAATTTTGACTTGCAAACTGAGTCTAAGCATGGGTAAATGGGGACTAGAGAGTAAGCTAAAATTGATAATATGAGGCTTTCACACAACTTTTTACGGCACTTAAAGTTTAGAATATGGCGACTAGAATATAAAAGCTTCATCTTCATATAACTCGACTTGATAATACTATTCACATGTAAGTTAAATCTAAGATTTGAATCAAATAACACACTAAGATTCTTAACATTATCCAAAAACGGAATATTAATGTCGTTGATAAATAAGGAGTCTGGATTTTGATATTGTAATTTGAATATTTAGGACAGTATGGTTTCGCGGTACATTTTGATGGATTGATACGTAAACAGTGTCTATTCCAATACGTTAATACGTTATCAAGACCTAGGTTAATTTTTTGCGATGCTTCATGGATTCATTGAATCGAAATGTTAGTTGTGTATCGTGAATGCAACAATGCAGATCGAATGTGTATACTAGGAATAAAAGAGGTCCCAGTTCTAAACCCTGTGGAACTCCTGATGACAGATACCGTGCATCAGGACTTCCTCTAGATCAGAGTTCCCCAAACTTTTTTGTGTCGTAGACCCCTTGCCATGTTTTTCCACTACTTACCTGATATTGATTTCCTGTAAATTTCTAACTGTAGTGAAGTTTAGTATTAAAAACTTAAAGTAAAAGCACATGTTAATTTATACATTTATTAATTGAATTTAAATTAAAACTACTCAAAATAAAATTTTGTATCTGTTATGTAAAATATACGTAACATTAAATAACAGGTGTCTGACCAATAAGTTCCCGCATTGGGAATAAGTGCCCGCATTGAAAAAAAATAACAGGGATAAAATAAAAAAAAGTGAAAAATAATAAAAAAAAAGTGTTTTACTTAAAATAATACAATAAGCGAGTTCGTTTATTAATTATAACATAAAAGTATGTTCTACAATAATTTCACTGTTAGTTTGATTAAATTCCGCTTCTTATACGTTTAAGTTATCTAAAAATAGGCAAAAAATTAACGAATTTTAGTGTGTACCTATCCTTGAGTTTTCAGAATAATTTAAAAAAAAATATTTTCTATAAAGGGCGGATTCTTTAAAAAAATCAATGCGGGCACTTATTCCCAATGCGGGCATTTATTGTTCAGACACCAATAAACATAAAATAAACTATAAATAAAATAACATAAGCAATAAGTCAATATTTTTAGTGAGAAGGATGAACCTGATGCTTTAACAATAAATTATCAACATTTGGCGTCAATTTTGTAAGGGTTAATCTTAAATCTCCTCGGCTAATGATGTCCAGTCTGTTTCTTTTTTCGTTAGGAGATTCGTAACAGCGCTGAACCCCCTTTCCACTAGGTATGACGATGGAAAGGAAATTAAAAATTTCCTCGCTATATTCCATAATACGGGATAAGTAACGGGTATGTTGTTTTGCAGCCAGAATTGCTAATATCCGTTTTTAAACTGAACCTTAAGTTCTTCGTTAGTACTTAGTTCAGTCAGTCCCTCTTGTATTATGACATTCGTTTCTTCTATGTCACTATATAAGTGCAAAGCGTACTTCAGTGTGAAGGAGTAATTGTTGAAAATGTTCGTTATTTTCTTCACTCAACTGCACAAATAACCGCGTATTCAACGCGTTGCTTCGGATTCGGTTTACTGCATCAATGACTAAATGAAGTGATTCATGCAATCTAACACTCAAATTTTTAGCAACTAAATGTTGTCGATGGATGACGCAATGTATTGCTAACACCCCTAACACATTTTGTTTTAAATAGCTTTTATAAATCCACGATAACGTCCAACCATGGCAGGTGCTCCATCTGTAGCTACTGATATTATATTTGATAAAGGAATTGCTTTTTCAATGAAGTAATCCTTCAAAACATGAAATATTGATTCACCTTTAGTGTCGCTTATCAAAGTTCTAGCGAAGAGCAGTTCTTCGTAGATTTCTTGATTCATGATAAAACGAACATATGCCAATAATAATGCTGCATTATCAGGTAAAGTTGACTCGTCCAGTTGTATAGAGAAATGGGTCGTTTGCAAATAATTACATAAGAAGCTTTCAATATCAGAACTCATTTCATCAATACGTCTTTCAACAGTATTGTTGCTTAAGGGAATTCTTTTAATGATATCAGATGCAGGTTTTTGTAAAACAGTTTTTAAAACCTCTTCAACGGCTGGCAAAATTAACTTCTCTCCGATAGTATGCGGTTTGCCGGATTTTGCTATAAGTAACGAGATATTGTAAGACGCCCGCAAACCATCATCATTTCTTTTTGACGTCGAAGCGAACATTCTGTCCAGTGTAGGTCTCTTCTGGAATTTATCTTTGAGTGTTTGAAAGTCTTTCAAATCTTTCTCTGTTTTATCAGATGATCTTGCAGTTTAGATGGTTTCATAGCGTCATTGCCCAAAACTTTGTTAAACAAAAGGCACATAGGCGATTGTTTGTCCGGCAATGATGGAATGAAGCCAAATTTCAAATAACCAACACTGTACTGTCTACATTTCTTCTTAGATTCGGACATGGCATCAATCATTTGTGGGAAAAATTAAATTATTTAAATAAGACAAAAAATTCAGCAGCTGTATATTAAAAATATTTTTTGATTTTTCCGAAAACATTCCATAATTCGAACATCTTCTTGCAACAATTAGCTCGAATTACGGAGATTGCACTGTAAGTATATTACCGATTGCTAAAACTTTCAAAAAGAAACTATTGAGGAGTACTCGTGAAATTTTGCATGATTGAATATTTAACTACTAATAGCTAAAGTCAGGATTGGCGTAATTTATCTATCTTTGCTAACCACGAGTACGAAACTAAAATTTAATAAAAAATAATGTACTTACTTTTCTCCAGCAGTCTCAAACAAAATAACACTAACTCACTATAATTTGTGTGATATAATATCTGTTTATATTTTTTAAAATATTTTCTGAGCACTTTCCTTTTCAAGATTCAGGAAACGAGTAAACGTATTTGTCCCACATTCGTATTTATAGAGTGACGAATTGTACAAGTCAGTGCAAGGTAGCGAAGCTCTGAGAGTGCGACTCTCAGGTTTATACAAGTTCAAAATGTATTGCGACCACAAAGCGAATACCAACATCCTACAACTTACACAATTTTATAAACATATATAATACATTTTTTACTTCATAGGTACTTTTATAAATAATGTATATGTTTTGATAGTATAATGTAAGTAAATAGGTACTTTCAGTGTATGTGTTGAGATCCACTATCGTGGAACCCCATATTCATTTCATGGACCCCCAAATTTTTTTTTCGCTGACGTAGACCCCTTGCAGGTTGTCATAGACGCTTAGGGGTCGATATAGACCACTTTGGGAATCAATGCTCTAGATGTTTTCACTCTTTGGGTGCGATCAGTTAGGTACGATCTGCGAAAATTCAAAGGAACTTCCGACATGCCATAGTATTTTAGCTTACTCAAAAGAATCTCATGGTTGACCATATCAAAAGCCTTAGTAAAATCAACTATGACCAACAGCGTGCCGGATTTGTTATCAAGGTTGTGAAGTATCTCATCTGCAAGATGTAGTAGTGCAGTAGTCGTACTGTGACCTTCATGAAAACCAGATTGGTGTACTGGAAATAAATTCATTATATTAGCAAAATACTCAACAAGCTGTTGGTATACTATCTTCTCAAAGACTTTCGACAAGAAACACAAACCACTTACAGGTCTAAGATCGGCATGTTCAGACGGATTATTATAATATGAATTCTTTATGGGTTAATGACAGCGTTGCGCGGGAGGAGCGGATACAACCTACTTGAAGCCATTTTTTTATTTCGTAAAGGAGCAGTAGTCGCAGAAATGTTAAAGAACTAACCGTATAAAACATGAACAGGAATATTCTTCTAGATCTAGAAGTCGATCTTTTCTAATAAGTTTTTGATATATTGATCATGGAGTCTGAGAGAATTATTGTCACTCCTGTTAGGGTTGCAGGAACGTTTATACATTATTATTTACACAGCTTTGTATATTGTAAGAGCAATGGCAAAAGAGCGTTCTTATAACAGCTATAGAAGCGGAATGGGCGCATCTAATAGGACACTTCAGAGCTTAAGATGTTCGAGGATGAATCAAATATGAACCGGACTTTGCTTTTAGAAACTTTACTTATATAGTGAATACAAGTTTATTTTCATTCGACTTTTCTACATAATCTCCTCTCTTATTGATGCATTTTTACAATCGGATCGGTTTTTAATCCTCCCATCAAAGAATGAAGCTGGTCGTGTCAGTAGCCAATTGTACACAGATGTTTTCACACCTTCGTCGTCTTCAAAGTGGTGACCTCCTAGGTCTTCTTTGAGTTCGCTTTGGTAACAGTTTTATTCAAATCCTCATTCTTTTAATAAATTTTCCGTGTTCGGTAAGGAAATTATTCTAGTTAATGGTGTGCAATTTATTTATAAAATCTCTGACGTGCATCAGGACTTTTTTCTGCCTACTTGATGAATAGTAATTATTTAGTTCAGCCTAGTGCAAAATACCGTATCAATGCTATTTGTACAATAATCCTATAATGTAGAAGTTCTGCCATCCAATCAGATCATACTTGCGATAATAGGCGGTAAGTTGCTAGGTGGAAAACATAACAAACAACAAAGCTGCTTATGTGACAATAAATATCAACGTACTTTCAAAAATGTCGCCTTGGTAAGGTTACGTCGGCGCGCCGGTCGCTAAGATGCTTAAAGCAATAAATCATGCTAGTGTCGCGTATAGGTGTTGCAAAGCGGAGAAAAACTGTGATTTACTGGTTTAAGAGGGAACTAAATACGTTTACTGAACTGGGAAGCTGCACGATCTCCGAAGCCAAGAAAATCAGGAAACTACAGAGTTTGACGAGCTTGAAATGCGAAAGGCTTTGGCGGCCATCATCCAATATTATTTGGTTACTTTTTGGGGTGGTATGCCGTTACTTGATGTTTCGCCAACACGAGTGGTTGGCATCTTCAGAGGATGAGCTTTATTCATCGCAGTACTTTCCAAGTTGAAGACGGGCCAAGGATTTGCGGTTAGACAGACGGAAATACGTGATATGGTTTTTGCGTTTACAAATCTTCCTGCCAGTTGACGTGGGAGGTAAGAGAATCACGGGCTCTTCCATGCAAAAATAAATACCTGATTCAAAAATACAATATTTGTATCTGATAAAACCCTGTAGTGGTCTATACAACATATATTTAAAAAGAAGTCGGCGACTTTTGTCCGTCTCCGAGATATATATATATATATATATACAGGGTTATCCAAATTAAGTGTCCACCATTAGTAACTTTGTTATTAGTAAAAATACAAAGTTGTTTGAATTAGCAAACTAGTAGCATTTTTAACGCTGGTAAAAATGAGAAATAAAAAAAAACAATTGAGAGTCGTTATTTTGATTTTTTTCAGTAAAATAACATTTTTTTAAATGGAAACCCCTGTATATTATATTTTTTTCTGTTAAAGCATCAAATTTTAAACAAAAAAGCTTACAATAACTTTTCTCCTAGGTTACAAATTGTTGAAGTTATGGCCTCCAATCTGAAACAATTAAATTGTATCGACAAACTTTATTTTCAACATCAACTTATAATCTTACAAAATACAATAACAATTTTTTTTAAAGAAGATGCTCGAAAACACCACCTTGTTCTTCAATACATTTTTGGGCACGTTTTTCAACTGCTCGAACTGTCTTAAGTATGGTCCTACCATCTATCTGGGTTATCTTTTCCCTAACTGCAGTCTTTAACGCGTCAAGGTTATCGTACCTTCGCTTGTAAATTTGGTTCTTTAAGTAACCCCACAAGAAGTAATCAAGTGGGTTTAGATCTGGTGATCTGGGAGGCCACTGTATTGGGCCATTTGTTCCTATCCACTGATTATTTGTTATTATTTTGTAAGATTATAAGTTGATGTTGAAAATAAAGTTTGTCGATACAATTTAATTGTTTCAGATTGGAGGCCATAACTTCAACAATTTGTAACCTAGGAGAAAAGTTATTGTAAGCTTTTTTGTTTAAAATTTGATGCTTTAACAGAAAAAAATATAATATACAGGGGTTTCCATTTAAAAAAATGTTATTTTACTGAAAAAAATCAAAATAACGACTCTCAATTGTTTTTTTTTATTTCTCATTTTTACCAGCGTTAAAAATGCTACTAGTTTGCTAATTCAAACAACTTTGAATTTTCACTAATAACAAAGTTACTAATGGTGGACACTTAATTTGGATAACCCTGTATACACGGTAATTCGTAAGGCTTAACTGTTAAAAACTACAAAAACTCTGATAGACTGTACAAACTGTTCTCCAGCAGATAACTTTTCAATTATTTCTGGAAGGATTTCTTACTGGTGTTTACTTCCATACAGAGTGTTCCTTAATGATATGCGAATATGAAAAATTAATGTTAGTTTGCTTTATAAATTATGGTCCAAAAATGTTTCCTTACAAAAACTCGGAGTGTTGAAGTTTTAGGAAAAAAATGGAAATTGATTAATATTTTCAGAACCGCTTCAGGTATTTCACTGATAATTAGTACGTAGTAGTGAAAGTTAATAAAGTAGCATATTTTTCAATGCAAAAATAATGTTTGCCTAATAAAAATTATTTATAAATTCCCCGTTCATTTTCAAACAAATGATCTCTCTTGAATTATTTTCCTTCGATGCGCCAGTTCTATTGTGTAGCTTTATTATTATTTATTTAATTGGAAAAATTAAATACATTAGGAGTAATGCACAACAACAACTGACAATATAAACATAACATTAAAACCAACGAAATGATTACAAAAATTGTTGAAAATGGCTCCCTTCACTTAGTATGCATGCTTCCGCCCTCCTCATGGAATTGGGCACTCGTTGAAATATCCCTGGAGTGTTTTTCTATTATATCACAAGCTGCAACAATTCATTCTCTTAATTCCTCTACAGTGTTAATGGGACTTGTGTACACTAGTATCTTAGAATAGACCCACAAAAAGAAATCTAAACTATTGAGGTCTGGGGACCTTGGTGGCAATTCTTGGGGTCCACCGCGGCCAATCCCACGATTTGGATAAACAGTTTGTAAATAACTACGAACCGCTACACTGAAGGTCTGTCCGTTGTCCCGGCAAGAAGAATGGGCCAATAATTCCTGCCCATGCGTTAAACGAAAATTGGTGTTGGAAATGTTCTTCGACTTCGTGCAGCACTGCTTCCTCAATTTCAGGTGTTCTCACACTTAGAGGTCTACCTTCGGATGTTCCTCT